TGGAGCTGCGGCAGGCCGCGGTGGAAAACCGCCGTGCCGCGTTACCGGCAACGGCGCAGGCCCCCGAGGTTGCCGCCTCCCGCGTCTGCCCTCGGTTTGTCTCTGCATCGGTCTTTACTTTCAGCGGCTGCCAGGTTTGTGTGTTTTCCAAACGCACGCGGCTTTCTGCGTGTGCGCTGTGTGGGCACGTCCCTTGGGAGGACGGATCTGCACGTGCCGCTATCCAGGCGGCTTTTCCCTTGATCTTCCATGGATAACATGGACAACACCTGCATTCTTTTACTTAGAAACCACTCCTGATAATATTTGCGTCACTTTTTCTGGCTCGGCTGGGCCCGTATTAAACCTTCCAGGGAGCTCCCTGTTCCTTCGGGTTCGGCGATGCGCTGTATCTCAGAAACACATGGCCTTGCTCAGTCGTATTTTCTAGGTATGTGACGAACCGGAGGAGTTAAAGAGAAAGGCTACCGAGCTGGCTGCTGCTGTCCGGAATGCCAAGCACCTTGTCATCTATACAGGAGCCGGGATCAGTACGGTAGGATTCTTTGGGGGTGAGTGGCTGGAGCTTTGGGAGCTCCTTCAGGAGTGTTGCAATGTTGTTTGGACTTTTTTTTGTGGTCTCCAAATGACTACGTGATGCGTGTTGCGAGTCTGGGATGCTGCGTTAACACCGCTGCGCTGCAAACCGTGACCGAGACATTTGCTAGTTCGCGTCTTGGGCTTGTGCCTGCTGCCCAGGAGATTCCGAGGCTGCATCACCTCTGTGACCGTGAGAAGAATGTGCCTCTTAAACGAGGAGATCGCTAGTCTTACTTCATTCAAGCCTCTTCAACTGCTTCTGGTGTAAAACCTAAAAACAAGTTAGCTAATTAACGTTGCCTGCGTTAATGGACAAGTAGGAATAACTGGTGGTTATCAGAAGTCATAAATGACAGTTTATGAAATGGTTGGTTTCAGTCACCTCTGTTGGGAGAGTGAAAGTCTGGTTCTGCCTCTTCTAATGTGACATATGTCACCTTTGTGTGAACTCTGAGATGGGAACCTTATTTTTCTTTCCCTTTTCTACAGTCTCTGTTGAAATGGAGCATGATTCTGGGCAGGGCGTATGAGCGCTAATGTCACAAGTATTTTTGCTAAAGAATGCTGAGTGCAAGGTACCGGAAATCAGAGTCTAGTGAAAATAAGGAAAGGTTCAAGAACTGAGTTCTGTGTAGGGAAACGGGAAGTACCAAGGGGGAAAAAGGGTTCTGGAGGGATTCCATAATGGTAAAATTGGAGAAAATAAATACTGGAGGTGAAAATGAGAGCTGTAAGGTGGGAGAAAGGATGCTAGAGAGAGAGAGAAAACATATGAAAAGAAGGTTTTCCTGCGATTAGGGAACCACTGTGCTAGAATCATAGAACCATAGAATGGTTTGGGTTGGAAGGGACCTTAAAGATCATCTAGTTCCAACCCCCCTGCAATGACACCTTCCAATAGACCAGGTTGCTCAAAGCCCCGTCCAACCTGGCCTTGAACACTTCCAGGGATGGGGCGTCCACAACTTCTCTGGGCAACCTGTTGCAGTGCCTCACTGCCCTCTCAGTGAAGAATTTCTTCCTTATATCTAATCTACATCTACCCTCTTTCAGTTTAAAGCCATTACCCCTGTCCTATCACTACATGCCCTTGCAAAAAGTCCCTCTCCAGTTTTTTTGTAGGTCCCTTCAGGTACTGGAAGGCTGCTATAAGGTTTCCCCGGAGCCTTCTCTTTTCCAGGCTGAACAACCCCAACTCCCTTTCCTCA